TCAATATTAGGCTCAAAAAACATTATTCGAAAATTATTTTTTTAAAGGAGGACGCAATGAGTGATTCTCCCTTACAATATAAATAAATGAATAGTTCAATTCCTTCAGCAGCGACTTTCGGTGTTCTTCCGAAAATCCAGGTTGGGTTCGATTCGGTCCAAAAATTATAAATATTCAAAAAAAAACGCTAGAGTGTGGACATCCAGCAGATTTTCGTATTTTTTCGATTTTCCGACTGTCATGCACCACAATTTCAAAACTATTCAAAAGTTGTTGAAAAATGGACACGTTCCAGCAACTCGCAATATTTTATGCAGAAAAAACACATTTTTCATCGAAAATGTAAATCTTCCTTTTTGACCATTTATCGTTCACTTCGAATAATTTTCGAATATTTGATGAATGTTCTCTTTTGATTTGAGTTGAAAAACATTAAAAGTCAAGGTGCGTGAATGAAATTCAGTTCAACTCCTTCGCAAGAGAAACGACCAATATGTTTGTACGCTGTCTATCCGCCGAAAATACACTACAATATATATTCACGCTTATTGGACGCCCAATTGAATGTATATTCTAGTGTATATTCGGTGTATTCTTCAGCGTGAAACATATTGAATCAATGAATGCATTCATGGCCATCAGAGGGCGCCTGAATATGTTTCAATATGTTTCACGCTGAAGAATACGCCGAAAATACCTTAGAATATATATTGAATTCGGCGTCCAATAAGCGTGAATATATATTTTAGTGTATTTTCGGCGGATAGACAGCGTATAAACATATTGGCCGTTTCTCTTGGGTTACATTTGTTAACAAACGAACATGTAATTTTTTTTTAGTGGATTCGTAACTACAGCATTATCACTATCTAGACTAATGACTACACACTAAATCTAATACTTTTCCGCTTACTATTACCGCTAATATGTCCTGTATAATTTCAAATGATTATTTTCGAAACTGAGTTGCAATTTCGAAATGACGATTTTCGAAAGAAAATTTGTTCGAAATGCAGTTCCAAGTCAAAAAATTGAATTTTTGGAAATAATTTCGAATATCAAAAACAAAAGTACAGATTACCGTAGTACTAAAAATCTGTGTCATTTTCCTCAAGGTGTCTCCACACGTATTAACTTTGTATTATGAATGTTAAGTTGCGTGCAACGCCCTTCAATGTAAAAACAATTCAAGCGGAGGATGATACATGGGATTTATCTGTACTTTCCCGAAAATGAATTCTAGATCGAACTAGGAATTCTCCAAAATGGGTTCGAATTTCGAAATGATAATTTACGAAATTCAAATTGAAAAAAATATTTAAAATTTCAATATTAGGCCCAAAGAACATTATTCAAAAATTGTTTCAAAAATTTAATTAACGGACGGACAAAATCGGGGGAGAAAAGTCACTTACCCTTATCTCATTACTAGAACTATCTGCACAGACTACTCACTCAACAAATGATTGAGTTTGGGCAGTTCATTTGAAAAACGATATTGAACATTGTGAAATTAGCTGTTTTCAACACTTTTATGGTCTAGCAAATTTTAATATTTCACAGAATTCGCTCAGTTTTCATTTTGTTTTATTCTGTTTTGTTTTGTTTGATCAAATTGTGTTTACCAATGTATTTTGGAAATTTATCAAAGTCTTAATGAGTCAGACACACCAATTTTGTGTGCTATTGCTATGTGTTTTACTAAAAGAAAGAGATCGTGAGCTATCAAATTGCTGCGCTCTTTGTTTCGTTCGCGATTTTTTTCTCTCGCTTGCGCCTTTTTTCTTTTACTTGCGCTATTTTTCTATCGATTGCGCCCCATTTTAATTGTTATAAATGGAATTGTTATATAATATTCTCTTTTCTCTCTGATTTATTATTTTTTTTGAAAAATTCCCTTTTTTATATAGGCGCTCGAGCGCATTCGGATGCCTTGCGCCTTCGTACATTGCGCGACCTCGCACATAGGGAAAAACGGCCCTTGATTGTCGGAACGACCCAGCCGAAGTATCTTATCACCCGGGACGATATTCATGCAGTCTTATCAAAGTTCGTGTCAATTCAAAGATTTCGCTTTTTTTTCTTTTATGATTGAGCACAGCATGTAGCATTGCCAGCCACTTCAAGATAACGTAATTAATGATGATTTTGCCCTCTCATTAGGATTATCAAGCCCGGTGATAGCATTGCTCTTTTATCGGACTTCGATGGAACGTTGGCTAGACTCGGTCCTGATCCGGAATTGACAGCGATTGTACCAGCAGCAAAGGACGCCCTCGAACAATTAGTCAAACGCTCAAATATTTTCACCGGAATAATATCTGGACGTCCGATGGCTGATTTACGAAAGAGAGTTGGTATCGATAATTGCACATACAGCGGAAAACATGGCATGGAAATTGTATTTACCAATAAAACCGAATTTCATTATCCAATCCCACCGGAAATGTATGCAAAATGCACGAAACTCAAGAGCATCCTTATGGAGGTAAATTTGTACGATTTTATTCAGAGGAAAACACTTGAATCTGTTCACAGAATATGAAACTGAAACGTTCATTAGAAGAGTGCAGAGAAAAAACATTGAAACAGTTCAAAAAGAAATGGTTCAGCAAAACAAGT